AATTGGAATTATCAAAATCAAACATCAAGAACCTGAATTTAGTGCTAATTTCGGCACTGATTCTTTTACAAGATTTTCTTTCAGAACGGGAAGGAAAACCAGATACTGCCAATTTCTCTTGTGGGTACAGAAATCCACATCCAAGAAATTTCTCGTTGTTTTATCCATTCAACCTTGTAAATATGAAACTTGGAAATGATTTCTTTGACTGTTATTCAAAAGAACCAAATAAATTAATTCATTTATTAGAATTGGTTGCCAGAAACAAAAAAATAAATATGTCTAATTTACATTGTATATATTCGGATTAATATCTTTGTTATTATCACGTTTCGGCTTTTGTGTACTCCAGCCTCCTTCAGTTGCTTGTCGATCTTCATGACATCCAGGGAATTTTGAACTAAACACTTTATTTAATCTACGAGGGTAGATTACTCTGCCACGGTGAATTGTTCTGAAACGTTGTAATAACAACACTGATGAGGGCATTAGTTCTAATATAAATAATGATAATTTCTTATCCAGACAGAAATTAAGTTTTAAAACTTCCAACATTTGTTTACCTCGATTCAACAAATAGCTTTGTAGCATGTATATCTGTGCATGTACAAACCAGTGACAGACTTCATGAAACTTTGCGCACACCTAATAGAAAGCAGCATTTTTGAGGTTTCCAAAAAACTAAACAAATGAAGAGACTGGAAAATTTCGTTCGTAATTAAGAGTACTGAAATATTTCGTGATACCAACCCTCCAATATCGCATTGAATACTGGAAAAATTCGAGGAAAATCGAAATAAAATATAGTTGAAAATGTTTAGAAATATGAGAATATTAGAATCGTGGGCGGGGTGGTGGCAGGGCAGACAGGGGGAGAGACCTGGTGTAGCCAACTGACCAGGTTGTGTAAATGGATTGCAAAACACATAATGAGATGGATAGTAAAGGGACAAGCATTTCTGAGAGCTACAAAGGATAACAAAGTTGCAGAACTATCAACCCCACCCAACCCGACGTCCTGAAGGAGTACGACACCTAAAAGGAAAAGAATTCTCGATTTATTTACTACCATAACTCCTACTTATCAAATAAATACGATGATAACCTTAAAATTCTTGCTCTAACGGATTAAATAATTTCATTAATGCCATTTTTTTAGTTTAACCAAATAATTTTTTTGAATATTTCCATTCTTTTGGTGGGAGTTTTTTGAAAATTCTTCCGTAGTGAATAGTAGTTACGCTTTACTTACTTTTGGGTGAGCCAACCGATGCTTCAAGTAACCTCAATTACACAGCCTAAAAAGAGACCAGAAGAATATCTTCCTCTACAGACACCGTTGATTATATTTTATAGCACGAACATTCGATTTTTTTAATTTATGTATTTTTTGTTAACTTATATATATATATATATATATATATATATATATATATATATATATATATATATATGTATGTATGTATGTATATATATATATATATATATATATATATATATATATATATATATATTATATGCTTTTGTATTGTTAAGATCATTTTGTTTCTTTTTAGTATTTCTTGTTTCCTTTGTGGTGAATTTTATTCCAGACTAACTCTACCATCTTTCTACCTTTTCTATTTGTTCGATTCCTTTTATTTATTGTAAGATGCGGTTTCTCTGGTTTCTATTATTGTTGCTTTTTCTCTTTTTCTTCCAATTCTAATAATTTTCATTTAATATGTTTTCTCTTTCGAATTCTTCTCTTCGTTTTATCTCTTTTTTTACTTCCAGTTGATACTTTTTCTTTCTTTTATATTTATTTACTTCTCTTTTCTTTCGAATCTTATTTCAGTCATTTTTCTCCCCATTTCTAACCTCTTCATTTTTTCCATTGTCTTTCTCTTAATACTATTTTCGATTTCTTTATTTCCCGACCCTTCTTTTCTATCCACACTCAATAATTCTCTTCCTTCTTGTCAAATCCTTAGTCTTTTCCATCTGTCCAGATTTAGTTGCAATCGACATTTTAGTCTGGCACGAATGAAACCTAAAGAATAATACCGGACTCGATTCACGACTATTGACAGTATTAAACAAAACGACGTATCTTTTATATATATATATATATATATATATATATATATATATATATATATATATGTTTTTGTGCACAACATAGACAGATAAAAATAAATATACAATGTACGTGGAGACATCTTTACTTCTTGACATGCTTATAAACTGTCAAAGCATAACAATCCGATGACATTTTAAAAACATCGACCAACGCATATTTTATTATCTACATGACTATGAACAAAAGTTCAAATTTAATGCAACTATACTATTTCATCGCGATACCTATAGATATATATATATAATTATAAAAAAGGATGATCAGAGATTTGCCAGCTGACCTCTCATCCGATCGTTCCAGTGGGGAAAAACTGGCTGGTTACATTCAATGCTTCAAAAACCAAACTAGTTACATTCCATCACTGCAGATCAGGCCCCGAACTACCGCCAGTCACGATGAACGGATGTCCCCTCGATGAAGCGCCGTGCCTTGAGAAAATATTTGGCCTCAAACTCACACCCGACCTCAAGTGAAATTCTTATATACGATCCATAGCTAAAGATGCAGGTAAAATGATAGGCTCCCTGTAGCGCTTCAGTAAGTACCTTACTCCTTATGCTATCTTCTAGCTTTATAAGTGTCAGATCAAGCCGAAAATGCAGTATCGTTGTCATATTTGGGTAGGGGGCTGTCCAGATCTCATTTTCAAGTCTTTATCTTCCTCAAAAGTGTCTCCGAAGAATTATGTACCACCCTCCAACCTCTGTCTCACAGGTGAGATGTGGCGAGTCTCTCACTTCTCTTTCGCTACTTCCATGAAAGTGCTCGGACGAACTTCATTCCTTGGTTCCACGAGGTCTAACCTCCACTTACATAGTACAAAACTACTTATATTCCCCCTGTATTCAATCAGCGAGAAGTAAATTCCACTCAAACAGCTTCTTCCCGCGAACCACTGCCCTGAGGAACAGACTCCCAAGAAGATGTTTCCCCGTTATCTTACCCTCATTTGCATATAAACTACTCACTAAAGTAACCCGATACTTCGAGTGGCCCTTGAGTCTTGTACGGGGTAAACCTTACTGTAAACCATAATTAGAATAGTTACAGAGGCGTATTTATAGAAAATGGAGCCTATGGCAAGGCATTAAATTTGAGCCTCCTCTTTAAATATTTGATACCCTACCAAAGCACAATATACAACTAATTGTTCAAAAATACCAGTCAAGACCATATATATTATAAATTATGCTATTTTAACGGAAAGGCTTACTTGTTGCATTTAAATTTTGACAATATAATGATATCACAGGAAGGCATTCTTTTACTAAATTATGGCAAATACAATTATAGCAAAAAGAAAATCATTTAAATTGCATAACCTAAGACTAAAGAAAATAGCTTTACGCCACATCTAAGCTACGCTTTGAAAATCACTACAGAAAACACTTTAATTTTGATTTACATTTTAATTGAGAAAAATAAAGCATGATATAATTTCGCCACTAGAAGACAATCTTTTAGAACCGACCTGCACATACGAGAAAAATTATTAATGAAAATGCCGCCTCCTGCAAGATTCGAATTTGCATTGAAGTAATTAAAATATGTTGGATTAAAAAATTCTTTGGAAATTGCTTTGTTTACGCCTAGAATACGGGATTTCGAGAAAATTCTGAATGAATGAGTGTGTTTTAAAGGCAAATAGAACCTTGCTTAAATTGGAAGCTCTATGTAGCCGAACAGATAAAGCACGCCGTATCAGACAGTGGTTTCTCCTACCAAACGAGAAGCCGGGCTCGAATCCTACTGGAGGGTTCATTTTCTATATGTTTGAATTAATAAAATTGAGCAAGTATAGAAGTACAATGGCATCACAAGAAGATATGCTTTAATAAGTTATTGCACTAGAACTGCAAAAATGTAAGTGGTGACATGGAACTAAAGCAGGTGCCGATGAGACCCCAAATTGCATCTCCTTGCTTTGAATGAGGCAAATATCTCACTCACAACGACCAGGCATCAAGAAGAAGAAAATAATCTGTCGCTGACAACATCCAACACAAAAGTTTGGTCGGTATTGAATGTTACTAGATGATTTAGTTCTAAATGTCTAATTAAATAATATTATACTACAAATGATTTGTTGAGTATTCACAAGCATATCGATGCATATTAAAAAAAAAACCTATATTTTTAGAGGTCAGTTCACTCATGTTACAATTAATTCAACAATACTTTGTTGATTCAGTCATCAAGTCATTCTTTATCGATTTTAATGCACATTTGAAAGATGGAATTTTTCAGTAGAATTCTCATATTTTTATTCTACTTCAACAGTCCACCATGTCTCACGCAACAGAAAGATCATAGTATCAGCATTCCAATCTTTCAGAGACCAACGCAAAGGCATAAAACTGCAGTTAACATATGTAACTTTTTCAGACAATACTGCATTCATTAAAGTTATAATAGCCCTATAATACCTGTCATTCATTTCTGATCACTGATATTTGTTAAATAAGTTGTAGAGCAAAAATTGCAAAATATCGAGTTTCATTAAAATTGGTTGATTTGTTTTTATGGCTTATCAAAATTTTGCGAGTTAATTATATACCTAAAAAAACATTTTGTGAGTGATAATGATTTACTAAATTCTTAATAATGAATCCATAGGTAGGGGGGAAAGAGGTTGATTTATACTTTTCCCAAAGATATTTTCGCGTAAGTCAATATAACGAACCCAGCTGGAATTCGAACTCGGCTCTCCATTTTTCAATTGCAAGCCACTCTACACTGAACAACTCGCACATCGAAGCTTACTGTCCCAGGTATTCCCAAACAGTCTCCCATCTTGGCACGGACCAGGCTCTACATTGCTTAACTTCGGTAATTGTAACAGAACCATCGTTTTAAATAAGAAATTCGATATTTGGGCTTACGGTCATATCACATTGAAACACCGGCTCTCTTGCGATCACCGGTTAAGCTACGTCGAGGCTGGTCGGTACCTACATGGGTGACCACTTTGGAATACCAGGTGCTGTAAGTTTGGATGTGCGGGTGGTGTAATGCATAATTCCATTCGGATTCGTTATATTCACTTACGTGCAAATAACCTTGAAAAAATTATGAATGGGTTAATTAGTATGACTTATATTAGCAAATGATTATTATCTCAAAAAAAATTCTTATAGTCTAATATTTTCTGGCTTTAAATTAACTACAAAATGCTGCTAAACCGTAAAAAAGAAGTGAACAAATCAAAATTCCATATTTAATCGATAATATAATTTTTATGACTTTGCTTTAATAACTATTCACCGATCGCTTTTATTGAATAACTTAATTGTCTAGTAATCGATATTCATCAAGAGTGGGCTTTTAAAATTCTTCTCTGTGGGAATCCAAGACGTGCCCTTTCTGTCCTGTGAAGTTTAGATTTTCAGGAGATTTTTGTAAACCAAAAAGAAATAGGATCTATATTTTTTGAATTCAGGCTATATTCCCAATTCAGTCGTTAAACATAAAATTAAAACATTTACTTCCTATATATTGACTGTGTCACTTGATGGAATCCTAAGCGCGAATGAAAGTTGAGATCTATTTTAATAATTTTAATACCCTTCTGTAATAAAAATTTGCAACGACTTTTTATATATGTCTTTTCTAGTATTTACTGTGTCATTCTTTATGTAATGAATTTTGTCATATTTGTCTACTCGTTATATCAGGTGACAATTATCAAGTTTTATATAAAAATGAGAAGACACTATTAGTAAAAGAATCTCGGACATAAATCAATCTGCTACTAAATAGAACTTCACATGTCGAAATAAAGAGTTGCTGGATTATCAAAGGAGCTTAATTATCGTTTATCTTCGAGGTTTTAGTTTTGCGACTGCTTATTGAGAGAGAAACGTCAACAAATTAAAAGATAAGCCTACAACATGTTCCATATTACACACTGTTCGGATATTTCGGATATATCAGTCATTTTTCGGTTCATTGTTTACAAAAAGTACGTAAAAATAAGTATGTGTTGGGGAGGGGCATGAGAATATTTTCAACGAGGAAGAATAATAAAATGCAAACGTCACAAGTTCCGTAAAACATTAAAAGTCGTAATGTCGCCACATGCATTGCAACAACGGTGTATCCTATTCCTCTTTAAACTGGTTTTGAATCGGAGTTTTCCTTCTCCTGCATTGGTTGCCAGCTCCAGACAAACGAACTCTGCGAGTTAACGGCATAGTTGGAGAAAGAGGAATTCCTGCCTTTCGAAGTGGGTATTAACACAAAATGAACGAAGCGGAAGCGAACGAGAAAAGTCGAATTCACTTTCTTCGCTGATAACCGCAGCAATATCAGCATCAGGTTCAATAGATGATTCCATCAAGCGTCACTAATCTGAAAAGGCAAGGAAGTCATTTTTTTGTAGACACGTGACTTGTTTATTATTACTGTTTCATAAAAGAATTCTATTCGCACACATGTATTCAATCATGTTTTTCTATGTAGGCAAAATATAAACATTTATATATCGTTCGACAGATTTGGGTGATTTTGAAAAGATTTTTAAAAATCGCGTTACATTAGCATATAATTTTCTGTCCACTGATGTATTTGAATACTGACAGAATCGCGGGCATCGGTCGAAAGTAAAGAGAATCTTACTTATTATAAAACGCAGATTGTGTGTGTGTGCGTGTGTCTGTAACGTTTATATATTGGATCGGATTTCCTACATTTTTCAACCGATTTCAACAAAACTTCACAAGACTACATAAAATTACTTTGTGGTGATTCTAACAGCGCCAAAAATGGGAAAAATATAATTGTTTTTGCACAAAATCAATTTGAAAACACGATTAAGAGACACCGTGAAAATGGAAGGGGGACAACTCACATCGGGTTGTTTGTGTGTGTGAGTTCCTTTAAATATGGGAGCGGATTTCCCATATTTTTCAGTCGATAAAACAAAACTTCACTTTTTTTTTTGGCAGGTAGTGTTTCTTATTCTCTTGCACACTTTTTTCTTTATTTTTAACATTCAGAATGCTTTAAAAATTCCATTTACAAGACAATTATTTATAATAAAATTCTGTTCAATCATAACGATTGAAAACAATGTTTTTGTTTGAGTTTGGGTTTGACCAATTCGTAAAAAATAAAAAAACTAATTAATACATGCGTGTCCGTCAACCTTAAACAATAATCTAATGATCTCTACTGATTGTACGAATACAAACATCGCAATAAATTCTTTATCTTTAGGGAAAGATAATGAAATCTAAACATACACAAGTCCTAACTAAAAGTAATAACTGGAACGGGAAACTACTTTAAATACACTTGGTGTTCAATTTTTTTACTGTATTCAATAAGTAAAAATCATAAATTGTAAAAGATTATTATATATTACAGAGAAGGCTACTAAATGAATAAGATTTGTTAGATCATAATTAATAAACCCAAATAAAGTTAATATTTTTTGTATTAGAAACAACGAGTGGAAAATATATTCAAATCAGAATTCTAATTATGAATCACTACAAGCAAAATATGCCATTTTTTTTACTGTATTCAATAAGTAAAAATCATAAATTGTAAAACTAAAAGATTACAGAAAGGCTACCTACATTTTTCAACCGATTTCAAAGAAACTTCACTTTTTTTTGGCATGTTGTGTTTCTTATTGTCTTGCACACTTTTTCTTTATTTTTACATTCAGAATGCTTTAAAAATTCCATTTACAAGACAATAGTTTATAATAAAATTATATTCAATCAGTAGACTCATAACGATTGAAAACAATGTTTTTGTTTGAGTTTGGGTTTGACCAATTCGTAAAAAAAAAAAAAAAAACTAATTAAGACATGCGTGTCCGTCAACCTTAAACAATAATCTTTGTCAATTTTATTATTCAGTCTTTATGATGGTGGATACTTGATCTATCTCTTACTGTTATATCCCCGGGCAACGCCGGGCTCTACTGCTAGTGAAACAATAAAACTGAATATTAATTACACATAAAATACTTTACATTGCAAATTTATTGAAATAGATTCAACATGTCGTACTGTAGATATTATTTATTATCCATCAGGTAATTCAGTAAAATATTGAGGTGATCATGTCACAAACACAATTCGCAAAAAAAAAAAAAACTTTTTCAGCGCTACTGCCATGTCGCTCGACAACTTCTAGTTTCACAATTGGCTTACGACCACATTACGTTGAAATATAGGTTCCAGTACGATCACGGAAGTTAAGTAACGTCGAACTTGGTCAGTGCCTAGATGCGTTAACATTTAGGTATACCTGGTGCTGTAAGCTTGGATATGTAGTGTAGGATAATGGATAATAGGAATTATTAATCGGAGGGCCGAGTCCCAATTTCCGTTGGATCCATTATATTCACTTACACGCAAATACTCTTGGGGAAGCTATGAATCAACATCTCCTCTACCTATGGGTAAATTAGTAAACCATTATTATCTAAAAAAAATTCTTACAAACTAAAATATTTTCTGGCTTTCCTATTTTTTCCGGGTATCTATTGGGCTACTGACATCTTGAAAAAATGAAGCTTAAAACATTCCATTGTGAAATAACGTAGATTTAAAGTGAAAATGATTCAAATATTAAATGTTTCAATTATTATTTTTGGCCGATCACCGTTGTGTTTGAAACCGATTAGGTAATGTTAAAAACAAAATTAATAATTGGGAAAAATGGGGAATGTTTTTCTAAGAATAGTAAGGACTTAACAAAATATCATTTTCATGGTCGAAATAAATCGGTATTTATATAGCATTCTGCTAGATAAAGTGAAGGATTGTTTTGTTTATTGTTATTAAGTCTACTGATTAATCATAGAAAAACAATGCGAAAACCTAATAACAATAAGTACATAAACTGTTATTTTTACGATGTAGTCATACTAGTTGCTAAATAAATCATCTGTCATATGCACGTAACAATATCCTGCGGGTTATGTTTTTGAACTATGCAAAAGGAAAACGACACGGGGAATAAGCAAGTGACAAGCCAGGGAGCTTAAAATTAAATTTATATATGTATAACATATTGTGTAAAGGCAAAAAGCATTGCTAGGTTTATGATCGTTACCGTCGTGTCTGTATCTTGATGTGTACAATAATAAGTGTGTGTATATCCAGATATTATGTTTGATGCATTAATAAGTTTTCTACAGTTTATCAGGTTACTTAAAGACAGTAAATACTTTTAGATTGCAAGATTTGTTTCTGGATATAATGATTTTAGTGATACAAAACAAATCTAACCCATAGCTGGTGGAGAAGAGGTGAATTCCTACCCTTCCCATGAGTATTTGCGCGTAAGTGAATATAACGAACCCAACTAGAATTCGAACTCGTATCTCCGATTATCGATTCGCTATCCATTACACCACAGGTACATCTAAGCTTATAACACGTGGTATTACCAAGTGATCGCTCAGAATCAATGTTGCTTAAATTCAGTAATCGTAGGGAAAATAGAAATATTTGTTTGTCCCCATATACATTTGCTTTGTTAGTTACCTAGCAACAGAACAAAATGGCTCGTTGATGCCGTCAATGGCACTGGAATAAAGTTACATCGATAGAAAGAGTCAAAAATATATATTTAAAAAAAATAGACAAATCGAAATTAAGTAAAGTATATTTCATTCAACTTTACGTAGCGACTTTTCAAACGGGAAGTAAGTCTCCAGAATCATAATAGGAAATTCCAAATATAAATTCATAATTCCGGCACACCATTTGGCTAATTTTATTTCTTCCGATTAAGACCCTTTATGTTTGATTACATATTATAGGTATTTTTAGAAAGTTAGTAAAATAAATTTTATCTGCATTTGATGCAAAGTAAACTGAAATACTACACACACACACACACACACACACACACACACACACACACACACACATATATATATATATATATATATATATATATTTATGTTTGATACCACAAGACTTATAAATAGTTTTAGATAGACAAATCCGCATATTTTTACCCT